ATTTAAAAAATAAGTGGCATTTTATTTATTAAGACGTCTATTTCAAATGAATGCATCTATACATCAAAAAATCCTGAAAAATGTCTCAGGGTTAAAAATAAAAAATTTCAACATGATCAAAAGAAATGTTTCTTTAGAAACAAATCTGCATATTTGAATGATTTCTGAAGGATCATTTTACACTGAAGGCTAGAGTAATGATGCTGAAAATTCAGCTTTGCCACCATAGGAATACATTTAATTTTAAAATATTCTAAAACAGTGAATTTAAATTGTAATATTTAACAGTAGCATACATAATCAAACATAATTACTTAATATTTGTGTTGTAATATATTGCGCATTACAACTACTTATGTATTTGAAATGAATGAGACTTTTAGTTTTAGACATAAATAGGGACAATGTTAATGTGGTTCAAAAAGTATATACCTCCATGAAAGTAAAAGCCAAATACTGTCCCTTAATAAAAAAGTTTTGTGTCTTAGGCCATCAATGTGTACTTACATTTACGAGTCATTAAATCATGTTTAATTTAGACTTCTCTGTGCATGCTCTTTGGGGTGGTGACCATAGACCTCCATTATATGACTGACAGACAAGAACGGTTTGACCAAAAAATATCAAAATTGAAACTATTGCGGAAACAAAGAAACCTACATCTTGGATGCCCTTGAGGTGAGCTAAAACATATCAAAAATTAATTTCAAAGTGAACTATCCCTTTAATTTCTGAAACTGTATAGGCTTATGTTCTCATGGTTTCATTGTATTTGCAAACTTTTAAACCTAATTTCATCTGTGTTCAGAGCCATGTGATGTCTTCTCAAAAAAAAAATGAATGTCTTACTGAGTCTGGCAAGAGACGCTGGTCCACTTTTACTGGAGGGCTCTCGCACAGAGTACCAACCAACGAGATCCAAACGCTGCCATACGTTCCTGAGAGAGAAGAGGCTGAGGTTCGAATGGTCACGTGAAAGCCATCCATTTCTCAGCATAGAGTTCCCAAGAATTAAAAGGTGCGGCCTATGAATGGAAATCATGTGTGAGTCGAAAACAGCCAGACCTTTAAAGTACACACACACTCCAAGAGTTCAAGACTGCTGAAATGAATGCAAGGATTAAAAATTACTTTGTAGTTCATTTTAAATAAATATTAGAAAGGAAAATAGCCAAATAATGTGCAAATGAAGAAGGAAACACAAACAAATTGGAAGCAGAAGCAGAGGGGCGAATGAGGAAAAAATAGGAAAATTATTAGGCCTACTTTTGGATGTACAAGGAATATTCAAATGTTATCCAATGATAAGAAAGGTTAATTTCCACCTAGCAGCGAGTTTGATACAAGAGATCTGATATTTAATATTTTACATTTACTGTACAGGCACTTACACATATAGGCTACTCTTCCTTCTCTCCCTCTTATATTGTTTCCATCCATTAATGGTATCAACATTCAGTGCAATATTTTGGGACTCTGACCTGTGTGTACAGTTGGTTTGATCACATCATTAGAAATAAGTGTGAGCAATGTTGAGTCGTTGTGTGTAAAAGATGACAACTGTGTTTAGTTATGTTTAACTAAGCATTTTTGAAACATAAGTGCATCACGGAGCGAATGTGTTTTAGTGAAAATGTGTTTTGAGAGTTTTGAAAAAAGAGTGCATGAGATTTGCAAACAGTGTTTTAACCTGAACTTCTTTAATATTTTACAGAAAGAGTGATTTAAATTCGACCAGTGGTTTGGCTATTGAGAATTTGGTTCAGAGAATGGGGTTTATTTATTTATTTAGCTTTTCAGAAAAACTGTAGGCTAATAGCCTATAATCGTGATATTTAGAAGATGGTAACACACTTTTATGCTCGTTATTTGCAAATATTTGCATTTGACGTTATGTGACAAAAACGGCATTCCGAATTTGAATTGTAAATGCATTAGCCTACTTGCCAAAATAAACAAATATTCCATCTAAAAACTAAAGCCACGTCAAAACGATATCATTAACACGTTTTCTACTCTTTTAAAAGGTTTGAACATTATTTGATAGCCTACTTAATGAACTCTAAAGCTAAATATCATTAGATTTTATTAGATTAGGCTTAACCATTGCAATATTCTTATGCTTTAAACGCGGTAACATGATTCGATCAAACACAACACGAAAGACAATAAATGCGCAAGTAAAATTGCATGAACTTACCGTGCCAATACTGTAGCTGAAAATCTGAACCGAGCGCACTGGAACTCCGTTTATTATGTTTTTATCACACCTCAGCAGCCAATCGCGTGCAAGGCTAGGCGCGCGCTCTTCCTGGTGTCACTGGCATTTGTGGTTAGCCTATTTTAATTCTGAAGAGTTGTGACACTGACTTGAACTTGTGAGTTCTGGCACGTGAAAGGTTGTGCCTTGTTATGTAGTCAGCATAAGCTTGCTAGGCTTTACTTTGACGTTCAATTTACGTGTAGCCTATTCAGGTAAAGTGGATCGTATTATGTTTGTGTCAGTTTTTCTGAATTGCTAAAACACATTTCTTGAAACATTCACTCACTTTCTCAAAACCTTAAACACAAAACTGACTTTTTAAACCAGATTCAGAGAACCCCTGACTCTTCTGGCAAAATAAAACAATTGCCTAAAAAAATATTTTATATGGGCTCAAAATCAAACAATAGGCTATACTTTCGGACCATAGCCTACATTTATTTGCACTCACTGCAAGTATAGGCTTACTGAATATTGTACAGTATTGAATGTCTGAATTATATTCAGCACTTGCTACTGTGAAAATACAGTGACCAAACTGCAAAAGCGCAGAGCTGCCAACTTTTCAGTTTAGCTTGGCGTGAGAGTTCTCCAACGGCGGGTGATGGCGGGGGCGATTGCCTCTCGCCTATCTGCCGTCGTGCGCGGTTAGGAGCTCAACCTCTGTCTTGCACGCTCGCTCTAGATAAGATTACAGGATATTTTAACTAATTTGCGGTAAAACTAGTGGATCGCGAGTGCCTCAACAGATAGACCTATAGATAAATTCATGTTTCAGGCTTGACACATCAACCTGAGAAATCAGGAGTGTGGCGTGAGTGCGTGAAAATTGGCTCAACTTCGTGAGAGTTGGCAGCCCTCTGAAAAGCAATGTTAAAGTTACTCAGAGGAGTTGTGAGAGATTCATTCTGTTTTAGCGTCTTGTCTTTATGGTGGGTCCGGCCGGAGGACTTCATCTCTCCAGGCAAAGGGGAAAACCCTAAAGGAGATCCATCCCTGACAACATTCTCCACACCTGCTCTTCCTCGTCCTCCTTGTTTACCTCTTACACATATATTCTTCCTTCTCACCCTCTTATATTGTTTCCATCCATTGTTGGTATCAACATTCAGTGCAAAATTTTGAGTCAGTTTAGGCTCTGGTTCTGACTTGTGTTATGTACAGTTGGTTTGATCTCTTTATTAGAAATAAGTGTGAACAATTTTGAGTTGTTGTGTAAACAATTACAACTGTGTTGTAGTTGTGTTTAACTTGTGCCTGCCTGTGTTTAGCGTTTTGTCTGCAGTACACTTGATAACAGCCCAGTGGAATGCATGCATAACTCACAGGTCCTTCTCACAGTCGAACGGGATTAGATTGCCCCCTACAGTCCAATCCACAAAAGCTCACTCTACAAACTCCTCTTCCCCCCCCAAGTTTACAACATAATCACCATAGTCCATACTATGAACTTCAGTTATATATATATATATATATATATATATATATATATATATATATATATGAAGAGTTCAGATGCAAAAGCCTCTAAATGCCATTTGAAATTTTCTTCTAAAATGATCATTTTTATCAAGCTTATATATTCAAGTTCAGTAATAGGTAATCCTCATTGCAATTTAAGTGAAATTACTGAACTTAAATATACAAGCTTGATAAAAATGATCATTCTAGAAGAAAATTTCAAATGGCACTTAGAGGCTTTTGCATCTGAACTCTTCATATATAACATAATGATTGAAGAGAAATTGAAGAATTGTTCCTAATGATCCTTTAGGTGAGTGTATAATGGTATATAGTTGATGAGTATAGCATAAATGAAGAGGAAAAACACATTGTTCCCTGACCGGGAATCGAACCCGGGCCGCGGCGGTGAGAGCGCCGAATCCTAACCACTAGACCACCAGGGACATGTTCGCTAAGTTGAGCAACATTACTAATGTAGACTCCGTAAAATACTTTTCGTAAAATACTCCGTAAAATAAAATACTCCTTTCGTAAAATACTCCGTAAAATACTTTTAAAATACTACACTGACTTTTTTGTAGCGATTACAATTTTATCTTGCCGGTGTTATAGAATTAAATCATACACGAGTTACCGTCTCTCATTTATATAATTGTATTAACATATTTGGGAAATAGCGTGAGCGTAGATAAAAGTTTTATATCTGATAAATATGCTTTGAGATTGAGAAAACGTTTTGTGATCCCTTTATAAAATCCGGATTCGGATATTATGAACTGGTAGCTGGCAAGCTTATCGTCAGTTCATTCATTATGTGGTGGTCCCAAATTACATTAGTGAAATGTTTTAGTATAAGAAGTGTACCCCAAAACTTAAATAAGACATAAAATAAACCAAGTAGATAAATTGTAATATGATACACTATACTTTATATAATATTATTGATAAACCGCAAGACCTCGTGGCGCAACGGTAGCGCGTCTGACTCCAGATCAGAAGGTTGCGTGTTCAAATCACGTCGGGGTCAGTGCTTTTTTTTCCTTTCCTCAAAGCGATTACAATTAGATTCGCTATTAAAAGGTAAAGTGTTTTTATAAGTCCTATAAATGTTATTTTCATTACACCACATAAAAATAAAAATAATCTTATAATAAGTATCACACACAAGGTTTCTTTAGAAATAATCAATATTTAACAAATATATGTTTTTTTATGTAAGAAAAACTGTTACAACACACAATACATCAAAAAGTGTCATGATGAGACTGACTAGTCATGTTAACTGAACATTTATTGTGAAGGACTGTTGAGGACTGAGAATTCATCCACAGCAGACATCATGTCCGAAGTTCTTCAACCCTTGGCCAACAAATAATCCCATCAAACTAATTGTAAAGAATTCTCCTACCTTTCCGCACAAGCATTACTCTGACCTGCAGATACCCACACTTGCATATTTGGAACACATTTGTCAAATAGGCAATTCATATGTTCATAATAAAAAGCCTACAGCAAAACCATATTTAAAGCATGTGAAACATTTTTAAAACTTCCTTTATACTTCTGCAGTCAAAGAGAACAAACCAAAAAGTGGTATTTCTTTGCAACTATTGACTTCCTCTTTCATCAAGCTTCGTTTCCTGTGTGAAATTCAGACACATTTGGAAAACATTTGCCACGACATGCATGCATTAACAAAAATAATAAAAAGACAACAACCACAATGCAGTCATTACACTGACAACATTAGCAACAGCATAGCATCTACAAAACATCTAAATTGATGATGACAAATTTAATTGAGAACTTACAATACATCGTTAAAACTTGGTTTTAGCACATTTGATCACTTTATGAAACTCTCGCCATAAGAAACAGAGGTGCTTGCAGCTCCGTTTTATCATCCTACATGTTAATTCAAGTAGAGGCTTTGCGTGCTCATAAAATGCACAATGTTTATTGCTTCCAAGTATTCACAGGTTATATCCACAGAGGACCTTTTAATTTTGGATTGACTTCACAAATAATTTTGTGTTGTTCAAAAATAAGAGATCAGGCTTGTTGTAATTTGGCGGGTTGGCCAGGGGGTCATAACCTAAACGACTTAACATCGGGGCAAGGCTGGCCATATCATTCACCACATCAGCAGGGATCTTGCCCACCCAATTAAACAGAGCATCCTTATTCACTGGCTTGACGACTTGATCAGTTGACAGTTCCACTCTGGAAGAAAAACAGGAATAAAAGAGACAATGAACAATCATAAAGATTTAAAAATATGGCAGACAAGGCCTAAGTGCTTGTCTAAGACATCATGAAAATAAAATAATCTGCCCTCTAGAGGTTAAATGCAGTACAAACTGACAATTAAAAATCAACTTATTCCAGTGGGAGAACTTTTAAAGTCTACAATTGTGGGAGTCTACCATTGGTTCCATTAGTATAGGACTGTGACAAAGTTAGTGCTCACCAGATGTCTTTGAAAATGGTTGCTGGTCAAACAAACACCCTATTTACCCCTAATCAATTTGTTTTACATATCGTATTACAACGTAGTGGCATATTGACATAGAGAACTTTATAAGCTCTTGACTAGGAAACGTAAACCTGCATGGCTGACCCACTGTCTGGAAAAGCCATAGATGTAAAAGGAAATGGTGAATTGAAGTTTTTTTCTTTTACTTAATTTTTTAAAAGTATATACAGAGCCCCACACATGACGTGGGGGAGAAAAAAAAAATTGTGGCCAATAATTAGTTCCTATGTTTTAGGTAAATTGCGTCTTCATTTTAAGGCTGCAATACACTATTTTTGACTTCTGCCCAGATTTGCGGTCAGGAGAGGTCAACACAACTTGCCTGCAGGTTTTCTAGCTTCAGACAATGATTCTTTCTAGTCGGAGGATATCAAACAATTAATTAACGAATTAATAAAACATGGCCACAAATTAACAAGTCATGGGAACCAATTACATTTTTCCCTGGCTCCATAATCAAAGGTTATATTCATGGCAATACACACACACACACACACATACACTTATACACATTATTATATTATATAAAAACTTTCAGGTGAATCCTATAAATGACATTTCTGTAAAGCTGTACTGATTTCATACTGATGGAATATCAGTTAAAAGTTAATCTTTAAAAACACAAACACTGTTAACACTAACAACCATCAGAGAACCTCCAAAATGAATATCCATTTTTTATATACTGTACATTCTAACATTGGGATGCCTAAATTCACAGTTAGTATTTAAAACCCCCAGTTTCACAGACAAGGCTCAAGCTAGTCTCAGACTTTGAGCTGTTTTAACAAAAAGCAACTTGTACTGACATATCTTAAAGGCGTCATAGAATGGAAAACTTTATTTAAAGGGTTAGTTCACCCACAAATGTGCATCTTACGTCATCAGCATCACTGAACGCGGCTCGACAACAGAACCGGAAGAGAACACGATGCTGAATAAAGTCGTAGTTTGTGTTATTTTTGGACCAAAATGTATTTTTGATGCTTCAAAACATTCTAACTAACCCACTGATGTCACATGACTACTTTGATGATGTCTTTTTTTCCATTTCTGGACAGTATACCGTACATACATTTCAAAACTCTTAATCTAAAATATCTTAAACCGTGTTCCGAAGATGAACGGAGGTCTTACGGGCTTGGGACGACATGAGGGTGAGTCATTCATTTTTGGGTGAACTAACCCTTTAACTTGGCATAGTTGAATAATAAGAGTTCTGTACATGAAACTGACATACCGTGAGCCTCAAACATTATTGTTTCCTCCTTTAAATGTAAATCTTATGTTTGCAAATGAACACTGAAAAACGGTAACATTGCAGTTGGGATCATTCATAATATTTACACCAAAAATTTGCATATGTTCTAGGCCAGGCAGTATTATCATGTACTTGCACAGCCGAATCATCAGAAGTTCTGAAAGTTTTGTGAAAGAGCAAACAAGGACAATAGTGAAAAATGGGAGATCATGGATGTAAATGTTCCAGGTTGTGCAGGAGATGTGAGCAATTTTCATACCCTTCCTACAGAACAGAACTGTCAACAGGCATGGGTGATGTTGATCTACAACAGGATATTGCACCATTTTAATTCAAACTTGTTTTCTCTACCCAATTCACCACTGTAAGACTGGAAAAACCGGAAGAACTCACTATGGTGAAGTTCATGGGCGTCAGCTTGGTTTGAAATGTGCTGGGGACAGAGACGTACTCGAAAGGGCATTTTCAAAAGTGCTGGGTACAATGACGCATTCATTCTTTTTTTCTTTTCTCTCTCTTTTGAATAGGTAATGTTTTGAAAGACGATGTTCTGTAGCTTCCTGATGTACATAAATAAAAATGAGCACAATGTCCGAGTATAGTGAGTATATAGATTATATACGCCCTTTAATGCATATGTACAGTAATGGTCCAGAGGTAGAATTTTTGCCTAGCGTGTCGGGACTCGGGAGGTTCTAATCCGCACTCGTATATAGTTTTTTCCCCCCCTCATAAAAACCAATAATGTTTATCAGTGGTTGAATTGATATAATGTTTATCAGTGGTTGTATATGTTTTGATGAGGGGGAAAAAAATATACGAGAGCGGATTAGAACCCATGAGAAACAGGGACACGTTTGTGTGCATTTTGAATTGTGATTTCACCGGAACGAATCTCTGCAATGGATTGAAGCGCGTTTCCGAGAGAAGACGCCTGTTATTTAACAAACAAAAGAAACGAATGCTGTTAACTGGAAATGTTTAATTTGAATTGGTACATCTGTGCCGCGAGATGTTTCAAAAGTGGTGGGGACAAAATCGACCCTGGCAAAAAGTGGTGGGGACATGTCCCACCCGTCCTCTCCGTAAATGACGCCTATGGTGAAGTTAGCATCACCATTTGAGACGAAAAGTCTCACCCCAGAATGCATCTCCTTCTCTCTCATGCTGAGATCACCTGAAACTCACCCAAAATCTATAGTTTTAATGTGAACAATTATCATACATTTTTATAAATGTTTGGTGTCATTTGAAATGTCTCGCTACGACTGGTACAAATGTCTAATTCCCAAAGGAAATAAAGTTCTTAAGAGTTTAGAAGCTAGTTCTAGATAACGTGAACTTCTCCACCGCTTAAGTTGAAACGATTGTGATTTGACAATGCATCTACTCAATTAGTTAAAATATTTTTTTTGTTTGAAATACAAACGTGCAAAATAATCATACTTCAGTTCTCAGAATACATCACAGGTCCTGCGTACAAATCTGTGAAACAGCCAATCAGAGCAGAGCTAAACATTATTATTCATGACCCTTCCAAATGAGGTAATAACAGCCCATTTCATTCAAGCGACAAATCCTAGAGTTGTATATGGAAATGTAAAACCGTATCTGGAGAATTTTCGCCCTTACCTAAGCCACATACCTTCTATGTAGACAATTTTAAGTATTGCACCAATGGCACCTTTAAATTACAGTAGTCAACATTTGAAGTGGATCAAAAAAGTTAATCAAAGTTGTCCTAAGACAAGAACGGGTATTATTCAAAAATGTGGTTTTGATCCACTTCATATGTTGAATACTATATATCAGTGCCATTGTTTTATCTTACGTTTATCCACAAGTTTCCGAGGGGTGCTCCTGTAAAAAATAAAGTGGGTGAAACTTCCGGTGACGCGGCGGAAGTAGCATTCCAATGGTATTTTGTGTGTTAGTTAGCCAAGAGGCTAGCTGTTTTTCGGAGAATTATTTTACTATTTAAAGACGCAAATCTTTATGAGAGATGTCATTACGGAGCTCAGGGACAACATGTGCTGTTCGCGGTTGTATGTATAACCGGACTAAACTAATTCAGTGGCTTAAACGTGATTGTTTTGAACATAAGCTGAAAACGAAATCAGAGTGATCCTGACAGAGCCCGTCTCTGATCCTGCCAACGACTGTAGTTTCCATCACCTCCCAAAAGATGACGAATCTTCCTGTGTACATTTGTTTAAATTCTTAATATTCTATAAACTCTCTCAGCATGTGATTGGTTGTTCGCTACTGACGTTACACCTAAACTCAGGATCAAAGCCTGTGTTGACAGAATAAAAATATGCCAGGTAATGTATTCAAGTAGCACATTCATTTATAATTTTGAATAAACTCCAAAGCACAATGACTAAGTGTGTATTTTTTATTTTAATTGTTTGTCAGCTCACACAACTGTCTGTCACCATGCCTTGATGAGTATTGATTATTAATAATGTTATTATAATACTGCCAATCAACTACTGCGGAGGGTAAAGGTACTGTTATTTCACCCTTTTGAATTTCGTTGAGTTTGTGTTCCCACATCGTTAGCTAGTTTGGATCGCTATAACTTGAATGACCGTCAACTGTTGAATGAACGAGTGTCAAGCATGTCAAATCACGCTTTGTTTACTTCGAACCGGAAGTCGCGCCCACTTTTGACGCAAGGCCTCATGGGGCGTAGGAAACTTGTGGATAAAAGCTACTTAAATGCCGAACTAAGGCCTAATCCATGCTTAAAGGAGAACTCCGGCGCAAAATGAACCTTTGGTCTAATTAAACATTAGTCTCGACAAGTCGAACCACGAACTACTCGTGACTGTTTTCCAAAGATGGCTCCTGTCTGTTTACACGAAGTGGACTGTCTTTATAAAGTATCTTACAAAGTTCTCAATGCTTCGTTTTGTATTCAGGGACCCTCATTATGTTACTGTGTTAGTGTGGGGCTATTTTGAGCCTTTGTTAGTGGTATAAACTAGCAATTTCTTTTTACTTATTAAATGCCCCCCATTTACTAGCGTTATACACTAAACAGTTTTTAGAGATGAAACTCTTTACATTCGATTATCATGAAAACAAATCTCAGAGAACGGTTGACTAGGTACCGATGTTTTATTAGACCAAAGTTTGATTTTGAACCAGAGTTCTCCTTTAATCTAAGCCCTGTCTGTGAAACCAGTCCGTAGTGTTTTACTTTGAGAAAATACACGCATCTGAACGCAACAAAAAGTGTGACAGCAAATATATCAAAGCACCAAACTCACTCACTTTGACAGTGAAACTCCTCCAGCTTTCCCAATAAACAGCTCGTGGTGCAGCACAGCGGTGTCCCATGGAAGATCCAGGAACTGAAGGAGCTTGCGCATCACCCGCTCAGGGTTCAGCACCAGCTGCTCGTAGTGCAAGGGCAGACAGTTGCCATCAGTTGCAGCCAGGCACTGGTCATACATCACCTCCACTGCCCGGTTCCACTTGACCAAACAGTCCCGGTAACTCGTCAAGTCGAATCCAGTGATAGTCACCTTGCGGGAAATCATAGAGTGTACAGTGGCCCTGCCATCGCGAAGCATAAGAATAAACTTGGCTTTTGGGAAGAGCTTGGAGAGGTAGGAGAGGGACTTCAGAGCAAAGGGGTCCTTATTGCAGAGCCTCGGAGCGGGCTCGCCGTGCCCCACTATGATCTCCAGCAGGAAGGCACGTATGGCGGAGTCCAGGACCTCGTCGGTGACGCCAGCCTCGTTGAGACGGAGCCGCTCACGTGCCGAGTGACTCCAGGTGGCCTGCATGGCTAACAGCCGGGGGATGACCCGCGTCTCCTCTCCGCACCGAACAAGAGGGTGGGCGTCCAACATAGCACGCATTAGTGTGGTGCCGCTCCGAGGGACTCCACCAATGAAAATGAGAGGGGTTTCCTCATTGTACTCCTCAGGGAGTTGTAACGGGTCACTGAGGTTTCTGCCGGAGTGTGGGTTTACTGCCCACCTGTGCTGTGCCACGCGAGAACGGGCATGTGGACAATCTATCATGCTGAGGCCAAGATAAAATACTGTGACGGAGCTGATGACCACGCAGATCAGGAGAATGTTGCATGTTTGTTTTCTCATGACTTATAGTTAGGGAAGAATGCGGTTATAAAAAGCAGAATGAGGCAAAAATTGGTCAAACAGAAGGGGGAAAAGGGTCAGGAGGGATCTTGGAAAGACAGAGTGAATGCTTTCCAGAAAGGGTCACGGTGAAAGAATGTAGCTTAGGTAAAAGTTAATGGGGGAGGGAAGGGATGTGCAATTTTCCAGCCAGCAGCTCTTCAGGCTCATGCTTGGGGCTTCAAGAAATTTAGACTTGGTAAGTCAAGCCTTATGTTCTCTGTCAGCACCATTGTGCCTGTTGAAAGGAGAAGGAAAAACGCTTTCAAAAACAGATCTTGCCAGGTCTGTTTCAGCATTGGCTACTATTGTGCATCTCACGTTACGTTAAATGTCACGTCTAATACCATTACAGTACAACATTACCGTAATGGGATTAGACAATTGGAGATAGCCAATTTGTAACTTGAAATGCAAGCCTAAACATGACAAAGGAAAATGTAACTGGAAAAACAATGTAAAATATGTGAAAAGAATAGTTTGTGAATCTTGACAAGCTTTTAGGTGCTGCCATGTGTAGTTTAAAATTGTGAAGTTATCCAGGTCAAAGCGGAGTAATCTAGACTAGTACCCAACCTTTTTAGACTCAATATTCAACAGTATATGTTGTAATGATGGCAACACTACTTCTTCACTTAGATCAAACGACCAGATCAAAATAATTTGTTTTTGAGTGAACAAAATAAATAAGATATTTAGATGTTGTTCACCTTGATTTTTAATGTTTTTTTAAAAAGGTATGGTTTTACACTGCTACCACCATATGTGTAGGTCACACTTCCTTCCTTTGTTTTTGAGGTGTCTACAGCACCTTTTATCAATGTGAACATGAAACTTTGGATTTAAAAACATGCACGCTAACACCTAAGCAACCACACATCCTGTTGTGGGCAGCATCAGTGGTTGCTTTTAGTTGCGATGCATGTTTCCCAAATAACACCTATGCACATGAAACACCTGATAGTTGATCTTAAACTGATTCATCATTATCCAAATGCAGTAAACAATATGTATGTAAATAAGTAAAATACAATTATATGCCAAACAAACCGATAAGAAATCATGAAAAATCAATAACTTTCACGCTAAAATCTAATATAAATTAGAGCCCGACTGATTTTGAAGGCCGATACCGATACAAATATTTTTTGGTTTTAAAATCCGATATTCTGATATATCGGCCGATATTTTTTTATTTCAGAAACGTGCAACAAAACATTAACAGATTTCCCTAACATTAGTTATTTGAAGTTATTAATGAGTTTTAACTAAAATAATATGACAATGCAATTGTTATTCAAGCAATGTATCGTGACCAACTAAACGAGTTGCCCTCTGGTGGACAAACTATACAACTCCAACACTCATGAAATGGTTCAAGCGTGTTTCGTCCGTTTTTATTTTGTTTTTGAAATATTCATTTATCGGCCATTATAACTGCCGATACCGATAGTTTGGAAAATGCCTAATATCGGCCGATAATATCGGCCTGCCGATATATCTGTCTGGCTCTAATATAAATTTGTACAAAACTGAAACCACATGCAAATGTGGTACATATTCTGGGTGGCCTAACTGGCCTTTTGGGCCTAATAAGATTACATTTCATAGAAATTTCATTTGGAAAATAAAGCCCTGATATACAGTTGTTTGGGCGTGCTTTATGCAAATTTCTAACCTGAGGCAAACAACGACGGTTCCCAAACAGGTTTCCCTCGAACTCTTTATCTATCTCTTATTGGTTGAACAAACAGTAAGTCCCGCCCCATGACACTCATTTAAAGAAGTTATGTTATGATAGTGCCAGCTGTAGTTGAGCCACAGTGGTTTGACATTTCAGTCAAATCAAAGAACTACAAATAACTAACGTATAGTTGTTCCGACATATTAAAAAAAGAAATTTAAGAGGAAAATGTATTTTAAATCGCGTTAAAAAGTGTATTTTCTCCGTACTTTGGTTGTTGTCTGGTGGTCGACTGCATGTATCTGAAAACGCATTTTTAAGCGCCTTCAACATTGAAACGCATGTTTGGGTATCGCAAAAAGATACGAATTCGCCAAATGTTGCAGACCGAAAATGTTCAGTGATTCAGATCGTTGCCGTGTAATTTGAGGGAAACGTGAGCGCGCGTGCAACAATAATGCAACAAGTCGACAGAGTTACAATACGTGTCTTCGGTTCGTTAGATCATGATTCATGGCCGTGTGTAGTTAAAAACAAAGCTGAACGCATTATTCACTTGAACAAATGTGATATGCATACGTTGGCTTATAATTATCGCAGATTTCACTTGGATGTATTAGCTGTGACACGAAGACGCTTAAAATGGACGTAAGGGAAATCGGAGACAATCTAGCCGAGATGAGGAAGGCAACAAGGAAACTATGCGCCAAAAAGTCACGACACGTTAAAAACACCCCCGAAAACAGCTTAGTTTAAATAGTTAAAGAGCGCGACGCGACTTACCGTACAGAAAGTGTAACTCCTCGAATCCTACATTCTCCAGAATCACGTTTCTGATGAAACGCAGACGTAAAGATCGTGTAAACGGACGTTGAGAGATAGTCTATCACCGCGAGCACAATTCTCATGAATCTTCTCTCTGTCTATATGTGAGGATTCACTGTCAGACGATTTCAATTCAAGACAAAACCTGAATTACAAGCAGAGGTTTTAAATCCACACCAGTTACCACAGCGCTGTAGAGGCACTCTCAAATTTCATTGGTTACAGCAAACGTCTATTGCCAATCAGATGCTTTTCATTGGCTTTCTCTGACAAGACCTTGCTGTCATAAATTAAAATCCTGTCGAACATATATCAGTTCAAATATATACCGATTTTCTCCTCAGAAAAAATTCTGTCACTGAAAATGTTTTAATCAGTCACCAATGTCGTATTGTCTGATATCAATATGTCCGATTTATTAGAAAATAACGACTTGTGGAGGGCTGAAATGAGAAAACGTCTATTTATAATTATACTGTGAGACTGACAAATTACATAAGTATCACATTAAACAACTTTATGGATAAAATCTTGTTCAGCAGAAACTTGCAGTCACACATTGACATCTCATAATGGTCAATGAAGATAATACAATATAACCAAACACAAAAATTACAGAGAAGCAATACAGGAAGGATTTTATAGAGGAAGTGAGATTGTCTTGACTCCAGAAGATTATACTTCCCCACTGAACAACGATCAATGCAACTACAAATGGGTTTGAAAAGCAACAAATGCTGACAAAATTATATATGGTATCATGTGCTCGTACAATATATACATTGGGTTAAATAAATACACACTTTATAGACATTTAAATGTACCTATCTATGTCTAACATGTTTTCATTAATATAATGTTATAAAGAGAATATACTGATGCTACTGGTCTGTCTCCATCACAGGGTCAGCAGATGCATCGTCTTCTTTCTGGGGGTCACCAGGCAGGATGTCTGTGACTTTCTGTATAAGTTCATCAATCTGTTCTTCTGTCAGTCTTTCCTCACTCTCCTCTACCATCTGTAAGGTTAGGTCATATATAGGTTATACATCTAACATCCAGTGCTGGCCATTCAGAAAATAGTCTTTTCTCCATACAATCTGTTCTATTAGTTTATTACAGCGCCACAGATAAATCATAGGGCTTAAGGGTACCAGATTAATACATTTTTCCTTGTAATAATATTAATAATAATACTCCTAATGAGTAATGCGTTACACCCAACACTAAGTAATTTATTTTCCCATGAAAAAGTAAAGTAAGGGATAACTCTTAATTTGTCTGTAATTTAATTAGTTACTTCTACAGTTAATTCCAGATTAAACATCTACTGTTAAAACATGTTTTTAATGTAACCTTCTCCCTTTAAATACTTTGTCAGTTCAAGAATAATTTATGCAATTTTATGTTATTTATTTAAAAGAAAAGAGCAGTTTAATGTCTATCCTTGTATTGTTCAACTGGTTGAGGTTGACCTAGAAGTAATGCAATACTTTTTAGAGAGAGTAATTACTACAGAAATCTATTTACACCGTTGAAGTAATTAATTTTTTAGAGCATCTTGCCCAACACTGCTCATACTATTATATTATTATGTAATATTCCACAGAATTCTGTGTCAAGGACGAATAAATTCTGTTGATCTGTACTACTTCAATTTCATTGAGTTTGTTATATTCTTGTATGCTTATTTTTCCTATGTGAATTATTTTACTATGAGCTTATTTTACTATGTGAATATTTGCTTATACACCATCTTTCAAAAATGTTGGGTCGATTAGATTAGTTTTTTAAAGTCTCTTATGCTGAACAAGGCTGCATTTATTTGATAAAATATACAGCAATATGTTGAAATACTACAGTTTGAACATGACAGCAGGTTTTACTCCAGTTCACAGTGTCACGTGATTCTTTTGCTGAATAGAAGTTCAAAAGAAAAGCATCTATTTAAAATAGATATCATTTGTTTTGTTACATATTATCTTTACAGTCCATTTTTAGTTGTTTAAATTAATGTGAATAAAAGTATTCATTTATTTCAATAAAATAACAAACTGTTCCCAAACGTTTGAATGGCATTGCACACTCTCAGTATTTCCCAAGAAATTGGCAATGATGTAAAAAATGAGGAAGGTTATGAAAGTGTCTCACCAGCTGGATCTCAACAGCAGTCTGGGGTCTGTGGTTAAGGAGCTGCAGCTTTTCAGCTCTTTAAACAGGAACAGAAAAAGAAACAGCAGGTTCACTCATTATCAAGTGCAAAAAGGCAACTCAGACTCTCACATCACATGACACAGATCTTCATAAAGATGCATCTCAAACTCAACAAAGTGGTTGTAAATACACTGCATTTAATGTGACAAAGTCTGCATTTGTCACAATAGACCTATTTGTGACAGTTCTATATGTTTCTTTCCATACAAAAATGTCTAAAGAAATCGTTTAAAAAGAAGAAACAAAACTAACTTAGTGAGCTTGTGAGGCAGCATGGCAGTGAGGAACTCCTTCACAGTCTCTGGGTTCTGATGAACACATGGCGTCTTGGAGAGGTACTTCATGGTCTATTGGGGCATATACATCAAATGTTAAAAGGGCATGAGTGAGTAACCCTTTCTGAAGATTTTGAAGAAAACAAACTCACAAAGATGGAAATATAAATATCATTCATCTTTGCTTTAAGTCACATCAAAGACAAGCACCTCATACATGATGGTGTTGAGATTCTGCTGCCCGGTGCTGTGCTTATTTTTAACCATTTCCTTTCTTTTTTCTTTCAGGTCTGTCAGCAGCTGATAGACCTGGTGGTGGAGTAGAGGGTATTTGTACAGCAAGGAACAAAAACTGCTTGCATGCATTTAGATAACACACACCTTTAAATGTACAACACACAAATGGGTCCAAATTGAATCTAAAAAGGTTAAATGTGTATACTGACCTCATAATTGCTCAGCATTGCAGCATTGGCATCTCTCCTACAAAACAAAATGTTTCAATTTGGATTAACTTGTGTTAAATGACAAGTTTTTTTTATAGCAGTTATAATAAACCATTATGGAAGCTTGTTTCTGCTATGGAATAATAATAAAAGAGTTAACTGTGACTTTTTAACTGACAAGTTTATATCTCATGATTCCGATAGATAAAAAGTGGCAATTCCCTTTTTTTATTTATATAGTCGAAGGCAAAAAAACAAGCTTCAACACTTTGGAGCACTGAAACAAACACCACTGCATTTTGTGCATTTGAAATGTATGCATGTGTTTGAGTAATGGAATCTTTACTTTATTAAAAAATACGGTAAAAAAATATATTCTGGACACTCCTGCCCTAAACACTATTTATTGACAAAGTGGGTCCTGGACTTTCACTGTCCTACAGAGTTTGGCCTCAACAACACCCTCTGAAAGTTTCTATTATGTCTAGTAAAGTAGTAAGTAGTAAAAAATCTTTATTTGTCCCTTTACAGGGCAATTTAAGTAGCTTCAACCTCACAAAAACAGCAAAACATCAGACATTACACACACCAGAAAAAAAAAAAAAAAAAAAAAAAAACACACACAAAACCCCGGGCATTTATAAATCTTCGTCTAGCTACTGTTAAAATTAAAATTCATTCACGGTGCCTTTTCTTTGTTTCAAATAAGTATTTACAGTCATCACTGCGTTTGAAACAAAAGACCTAGAGGCTTTAGTGGTCCTCCACTTGGGCACTCTATATCGCTTTCCTGAGGGAAGCAACTCAAATTCTAAAAACAAAATGTGGGATGTATCCTCTAGGACAGTTAAAGACTTCCTAAGAACACTTCTCTCACATAAAGCAGACAAACTCAACTGTACAGATCCTGTAATCTTTGACCCTAAATTAATAATGTGCTGCAGTCTAAGCTGGTTTGTGTGTTTAATTGGGGCTGGACATAGCAGGACAGTGGCTCAGGCTCTCCAGGAGCAGGATTAGACACCTCTGGTTTAGGAATTTCAGATGGTAACAGGAACTGGGCTGTTTTTTTTTTTTTTTGGTGAACACAATCAAGTGGATCGAGTTTAATAGTATAACATTGATCGTTAAGTAGACACCAATGTTTTAACAATCCGTTTACAACGAATATAAATATTCAGTGTGATCTGCTCTCGGAGTATTGACTTAACTTGAATTAGTAGTTTGTGTTGATGTCTATTCATGTTATTTGTTGCGAGTTTCCAAAATTGTTCTCGATATTAGCCATATTCAACACGTACTAGATTATACAGTCTTTAAACCCAAATGTTTTTTTCAGCAATTATTGGTCACTATATATTGTATTTCAAACAGATCAGCTAGTTAGAACAGCTCAAAATCAAGTTTATCCGAGAGTGGAACTACTGTACATCATCTGCAGAGTTTACAGAGTGACCACCACGTGAACCTATAATCTATAATCGACAGTTCATTATAGATTTGGAAAATGTATTTACTCATCAGAGCGCCAAATACTACTTTTTTTCAACAAAAGACCAACTATATGGTCTGAGTTTGACTTTAAACGTGTAGAAGTAAAATAGATCTTACACTTCCATCTTCCTTTCCTCGTTGGTTCGACAACTAAAAACGATCCGGCAAGAAAACGAAGCTTTCTGTCAAACGTTCCCACCCAGGTGTCATGTTCGGTCATGTCATTCTCTGGTCATGTTCACATTTGTTTGATTCCAGTAACTATTCGCCTACTGTTTTAGAAATATATATATATTTTTTACGAGATTTTAATAAAAATCTATAACATCCCCCAGCAGCAAAATAAATCTAAACCCTCAAAATCCAAAACCCATTTGAAATGTTGTGGAAGCAATTCTATTGAAAAATATTGATTAAAAATGTAATGTTTTTAAGCCTCAACATATATGGTGTAGGTAGGAAAGATATTAAACATAAAAGAAGATGAACCACAATAGAACACTTTAGTTAATTCATTTTAATATATTTGTTTTAATATATATGATATTTTCGTCTTGTCTTCTCGGTTAGGGGCATAGCGCCATCCACTGGTTCTTTAGGCTAAATGATAGCTGCCGAAAAATGACGCTTAATTTTGGTTGGTTGGTGAGCACCTCATTTCCATATAATGGGCGGGGATTTCGTCCTCTCAAAATAAACGAGGAAATGTAACTTATGTTGCAAGCTGCTGGATGTACAGCCTCGCCTCTTACAGTTATTCACTCTTAAAAGCATTCGGTGCTGAATT